ACATTTGAATCGACATAGATATGAATGAATTGAATCGTAAGATTTGAATCGTAAATCATAAGATTTTATGCTCGTTATTGCGAATTTTCGTAAATGTGGCGGATATTTTGGATAGTGAAAGAGAGATCCACTTTTTGGAATCAAATTTGCAATTTGGGTGGAGCCGAAGATGGAGTAAGTATAGGGGTGATACTGCAATGTTCACAGCTGTTTCAGCCAGGGAGGTGGATATTCGAAAATTACAAATTAACCTCCACTTAGGGGCATTTCCGGTTTAAGGACCAAAATTATAAATGGTATATAATATAGGGACCAAAACTGTAATTATTATAAAAATAATATAATAAATTAAAGTTTTCGTAAATCTTAAATCGTAACTGTGATCGTTTTGTTGATATATAAGATTTATTTTAACTTTTGAATCGACTTAGGTATGAACGAATTTGATCGTAAGATTTGAATCGTAAATCATAAGATTTTAAACACGGTATCGCGAATTTGCGTAAATGAGTTACACGCGATTATAGCTGAGGAGTAGAAGCATACTGCGTTGGTGGCGGATATTTCGGATATTGCAAGAGAAATCCACTTTGGGGTTAAATTTGCAATTGGGCTGAAGCGGCTGGGAAGATGGAGTAAGTATAGTGGTGATTCTACAATTTTCAAAATTGCTACAGTCAGGGGGTGGATTTCCAAAAATTACAAATTGACCCCCACTTGGGGTGCATTTCTCGTTTAAGGATCAGAATTAAAAAAAATTATAATAATATAGGGACCAAAAATCGTAAAATTTGATCGATTTGTTGATATTTAAGATTTATTTTAACATTTGAATCGACATAGATATAAATGAATTGAATCGTAAGTCATAAGATTTTATGCTCCATATTGTGCCGTAAATGTCGAAAATTTAATCTCACCTTGTAACACGTACCTGGACTTGCCACTGCATACTGATTATTATTATATTCAGCACCGGTGAACATCCAAAATATGTAAATACAAGTTGCAGGACTAATTTGACATTAGAAAATATACAATAGCATAACAAGGAAATGAAGAAATAGCAAAAATACAGGATACACATTTCCGTAGGCATAAGATAGGAGACATTGAAGGTTGATCGAAGGGATGACATAGTTCAGTAATAGTTTGGAAATGTTATCGATCCTTATCTCTGGAATTCGGTAGGAAAAAGAAATTTGATGTTGATGGCTGTTGTGCAATACAACTGTAGCACGAATGAGTTCACTACAAAAAGTGGAAAACTGTTCGTTCAGGTTTATTTCGATGCATTGGAGTAGAAAACTCATCAAAATTGACAAAAATTGTTCATTGTTTGATGACCGTCTCCTTTCTTCCTTTACAGTGGAGGTGAGTTTTATTTAGCGAAAAGCTTTGTAATCGACAGACCTATGTTCGATGCTGAAGCTCTTCAATAGATCTTTCCGCCGTCTTGGGTACCAGGCATATCACATAGAGCAAGAAAAAGAAATACCAACTTTAACTGCAAATATTTGAAAAAAGACATTTTATAACGTAATTTTGAAAAATATAATTGTTATTATATTAAGTAATTATCATAATTTATAAGAGAGCAGCCTACGAACCTGGACCAACAACAAACGCCGACGGCAAAAATTTGTATGAGACCGGATCCTGGGCTGAGGCGCACAAGAAATCGTGTGGGATGAGGGGTGAGGGGAAATCGTCTGGGATGAGGACAATTTTTGAAGACAGTGGTACAGGGGAGCCAAATTACAGCCAGGTAGAAATTATATAATACGTTCACCGCGGCTTTTTCCGCCTCTACAATAGTTGACGCTTCTTTCTCCGGCCACTTCCTCCTCTCCGCGAAGTGCAGTTGCTGACTCCTAACCCAGCACAGATGGCCCTTTTTGTTGTGTAAAGCTAAAGGGCTAAGCCCTACCCGGCGTCGTCAATTGGTCGGTAATTTAATTAGTTTTCTGATTTTAGTCGGCGCTGTGGGCTTCTCGCACGGTGTGATTGCGGACTCCGGCAACCTCCACTGATAACCTTGGAATCACGCGTTCGAATAATTCATTGTTTGATGGCCATCTCCTTTCTTCCTGTGCAGTGGAGGTATCTGTTTCGTAATTCTCTTTTGGGAAGAAAAAAAACAGAAAAAGGGCAAACCTGTAAATGAATAGAGAGACCAAGACCAAGCCGAAACACAAGAAAGCAAGTCCAGGACTACTGACCTGGCAATCAGTACCTACAAAGCAAAGCCCTCAAGATTCCAATTCCCGAAGTACAGTAAAAAAATTATGATACAAGGAAACGACTTTCAAATACTGGCAACAGCCGTTGCCATATATATACAGTTATATGATACCAAAATAATCCGACTCCCCCATTGAAGGAATAACGAAGGAGAGAACATGCATCAAAATAAAATTAAAACACCTTATTGGTAATAGTTAAGATACCTATGGTAAATGTCTACAATGAATCAATCTTTCATCAATCCTCAGCAAAACAAATAACCGGTGAAGATAAGAAACCAATATCAGCCACATCAATATTGACAAAAAATTACAGGGAAACAAATGGCAAAATAATCGAATTAAATGGTAAATATAGGAACTGATTAGTAGTATTACCCAAATAAACGTAATTCCCAAAGGCCTACAAGAAAAATCAATTCATACACCTGCAAGAAAAAGCAAGCCCAAGAATAGATAAATGTGTAAATTCAGGTTGTAAATTAAAAAAAAAATAATAATAATAATAAATAAATAAATCAAGCGAAAGATATTAAGAAATGATCGAAGAGAAGTAACCGATAGGGTGAAAGTTGAGAGAACAGGAAAACCGACTGTCTCAGAGGGTGTGTACAAAGCTCGCTTGTAACCCAATTCAAATAATAATCAACCTGAATTTAGTAGAATACCTCCTACATCCCCAATAAAGGCGTAGATTTTTTTGGAAGTTCTCCTTGAAAAAACAGCAACGAAACACTGTAAACGTTGACCGATCGCAAACATCTGCTATCTGTCGCCGTGGCAACCGGCTGGCCAAGGTTGGTCGGCGGGCGTCGGGATGGTATGTGAGCAGTAGGGGTTTTAGGAAATTGAGATTGATTTATCTGTGGTCTGAGCCAGAAAAAACGAAGGGGCGGGTAGGGGTGATGAGGACAGAGGGAGACGCAACACGTAGGACGAAGAAAACGTGAAGCAGACAAGAGGAAGAAATAGGCTGAAGAAAACACATCAGATAGGCTTGCCTGGTGTCGGGACTTGAACCTTACAATAATAGTAAAAGAGGCGGTGGAGGTTCTTGAATGAAGCGGCGGCGGACAGCGGCGGAGGTCAACAATTGTTGGCCAATCTCTAAGCGTCGAAACGGCGTCGTTCCGCAAGAAACGGATTGTGAAAGGGAGCCGACATCGACGGAAGCAGGACGTGGAAGGCCAGAAGGAGGTCAACAATAGCTGCCGCGAATATTGTAGGCCGCCGACCACGATTGGGGCCCAACATCGATCGAACCGGCGGTAGGGAGAGGCGTTGCTGACCGGCGGTGGTGAGTTGGTGCACAGGCTTATCAAAGAAAAGAGAAGTACCCCTTATCAAAAGAAAAGAGAAGTAAACCAAAAACATGTACTACGATTTTATAGTTTGTCGGTGCACAGGCTTTAAGAAAGTCCTACGAATCAGAAGACCAGAGAATACACGCACGGATTTAAGTGAACAGAAAAGAACAAATAATCTGAAAAGCTTCAGTTAACAGAGAGCAGAATATCACAGCAAGGGAGTACATACCTCTTCACGTAACAGCCCTAGGACTAAGGCATAAACCTCGAAACAATCTTTCTGCAAATTAGATACGGTCAATTGTCTTAGTGCATGTGAGTTTTAATAAAGAGAAACATTTGAATATTTGATGCACACATACAGTCTGCCGTACATTAATCTTCACCCAATTATCCTGGTAACATCAACAACTGATGTTACTGATCTACAAAAAGAAGAGCAATTCATAAAATTTCAATTGCGAATGAAAACCTTACACCAGATAGGACTTAAAAGGAATACCCAAAGCAAACATACAGCATGTGTTCTTTGTACAAGTTTTAACCGTATTATAGCCAAACTTAATGGCTTAGATGTATCAGTTCGAGCTGCTTTATTTGAATGCTCCACATCATTTGGTCTCTTCTGTTTGAGGGAGCCTGATCAACATGTCGGATACGGAATGAGCCGAAAAAATAAAGTCAATTCATATTGTAAAAGTTAAAATGGAACATAACTCATCCACACCGGCATTGATATATATATATATATATATATATATATATATATATATATATATATATATATATATATATATTAATTAATATAATAACAATTATATTTTTCAAAATTACGTTCTAAAATGTCATTTTTCAAATATTTGCAGTGAAAGTTGGTATCTCTATTCCTTGCTCTATGTGATATGCCTGATTCTATTGAAGTGCCTCAGCATCGAACATAGGTTGGTCGATTAGAAAGCTTTTTGAACATGCCAACCTTGCATAGCACAAGCAGCAGCATCTCTGTTACCCATTCATGATCCTAATATTTAATGTCCATTTCCCTCAATGATGTTTGAACAATCAATTTATGTAATAACCCGATTTTTATTCTACTCTATAGTTAAATTTCTCCATAATCCTCTCTTCTCGCATCTCTTATATTAAACATCCTCTATTAGCATGCAAAGAAATTTCTGGCACTAATGGTTAAGGCAGCAATCAGCACTTAGTAAACTCACCTTGTCTTTCTGCACGGGCATTCCACTTGAATTATCCTTTATCTCGACGGTGGATGTTGGAATTTCGAATTGCAACCTGCGACGGGCACGGGAAATGAAAAAATAAATTCATGCTGCAAACAAAATCATGAAAAGTAAGGGGAGCAAAGAAGGGGGAAAGGGTTGGCAATAAAGCTCGAAAGAGAGATGGGGCAGACGAGAGGAGGAGGAAGAAAATAGAATCAATAACAGAGGAATTTAGAGAATTGGAGAAAAGGCGGTGCACCCAAAAATCCATCATGTTTCACATGGCTATTATTGCAATTTGGCACTTACACTTTCATGCAGAAAAAAAACCGAAAAGGAAAAAGAAACATATAGAACTGGTCTTTTAATATTACACAACGAAGTTATAAAAAGGATCACTCCCAGCGTCACTTCCAGCTGCTGCCTGTGCTGCATTCTTTGCTGTCTTTTCTTGAAGTTCCTTTGCATCCCTCTGTCATCCAAAAGTAAATTAAACCGTTATCACATTATTAAATAAAACAGACCCTTTGTACTCTTTATTCGTAAAACGAGTTTAATGGCTCGTAAAAGATGTAGACGATGAGGAATAAAAAATCACATCTTGGGAATTTTCAGTGAAGCGAACAGATGAAGCTGATAAAGTTAACCGTCTCTAATTTGCGAACTTTAGCAAAGAAAAGAAAATGAAATAACGGGTTGCAATTTAATACAACAAAATTTTACAAGTGAAGCGGTGCTTAATCGGAAGATAGATCTTGATGCAGAAGACAAACTATTAGGATGACGAGGCAAGATTGAGTATTAATTTTAGTGGCACAATGGAATAAATCATTTAGTACGACTGTACGAGACTAAAGGAAAAACGATGTGTGTACCTCCGATTTACGTGGTTTAGAACTATCTTCCGCTACCGAATTTGTTCGACGATTATAAGTAATGTAGATTTGCTGATATAAATTAATCAATGAAAATCTATCTAGTTTGGAATTCTATTTTTTCAATGTTCCCAAGAATTTATGCAGCCCCCAGCCTTTCTTGATTGATTATCTTAAATTACTTGTGAAAATTAAGGCCTCGTTTGGTTGGGAAGATAAGATTAGCCAAGATAAGATTAAATACTCTAATGAAAACACAATCATTTCACCAGTTCCAGGCACGTCAAATAAAAAACGACCGTTACCTTTCACGGCGCTGTTCAGGGGTGAAGCCATCATCTTTACCCTTTCCTTTGCCGGTGGTGCGAGCATTAGCCCTTTCTCTGTGACGGTCTCTTTGACTTCCACGTTTATTCCGGTTAAGAAATACATACAAGACGTATACACACAACCGAGCCAGAAAACACACACACACACACGCACTAAATTCAATGGAGTTCAACGAGAAGAAATTAATTTCAGAAAGAAAACGGAAAATCAAAACATGTGTTTTCAATTAATATGTTATATATATATATATATAAATATAATAAAGAAAAAATCAAAGATCTGAAAAATGAAAATATTCATACTTAATTATGCATAAACAAAAAAAAGTTAAAGAAAATAGTTACGGAAGGATACGAGTCATGGTGGAACGACGACGGAGGAGATAATCGAAGAAGAAATCTGCGGAGGGGTGACTCTTTGATATGATATATTGATAATCTAATTTTGGATGTGATCGAAAGTGGAGACGCCTGCCATTGGAGGAAAGATGCGGTCGGAAGTGACGTTGGCGGCAAGGACGGTGGGCATCGAATGAAGCGGCGACGTCGGGCATCGAACGAAGCGGCGACGGCGGGCATCGAACGAGGCGGCGGCAGAAGTCAACAATTGTTGGCCAAACGGCGTCGTTCTGCAGCGCGCGGAATAGAAGAAAAGGGACAACCAAGCAGGCGTGTCGTCGTCGAGCTGCTTCAAAATTAAAAGGAAAAGAGAAGATTTGGAAAGTCTGATTGGACCGGAAGATTGGAACGACACAGTTTTGGCATTAAATAGGCCAAAAAAATGGAAAAGAAATGGGTTTCAAGAAAAAGGTTGTATAAATTGTGAAATGAAATAGAGAATACCTGTATGCAATACCACTTTTCTGAAAGCAAATAAATAACAAAACATTGAGGAAATAGGTTAAATGAGAAATGAAGAAATACATCTACATACCTATAGAATAAACTTTACTTGTTCTTCATCGGCATGCGGCTCATAGCTAACGATGAAGTTTTGAGAGTGTCTCCCGTGTATACGATGTCTCTCTGTTTCATTGGAAAACACAATTTTAATATTAGAACCATTCAAGGGTTAATTGTAAAGCAGTCGACAATTTCAATCAAAATACCAAAGAACTCAAAAAAAAAACAAATTTGAAGCAGCAACTTACGACTACTGAAAAGATAAACACAAACAATTAAACTTCAGCTATAAACCATAAATAGCCAGTAAACATGTATCAATTAGGCGATTGCACGAATTACACTGAGAAAATGAAAGTAAAACTCATACGCATTTAGACGGGGCGACAACTACAAAACTATTCAATGTAATGTAACTTTCCATTTAAAAAAAATGCTGACAAGACCATTCCCATTTGGGTGTTTTCCATATTACAGACATTAGAAGCACCTAATTCGAAGATACAAATATCAAAGCATTACTAACTAATTTGCGAGTTTAGGTTGCTAATTTTAATATTTCATTAGCATTGCAATAAGGAAATCAGCTGATGATCTATTACTACCATTATCCTTATTTAGATATAGTAGTTTCTTACCAATATTAATATCCAGAAGTACAGAAGTACACGAGATCTCAGGTTGGATCAATTTGCCAATTTCTGTGAGAGACCTCCCACTCCCACAAAAGTGAAACATTTGTTTACATTCTTATTGCAAGGCTTCGTACCTCGCAGTCAAAGAAAACATAGGAAGAAACACGATAGTTATTTAGAAAATGAAAAAAATTAGACAGACCATCTTTCCGATAGACTAACCTCAGCTGTGAAGAAGCATTCCCAACCATGTGCTGGCAACATCATTGGGCTGTGGAAGTTAAACTCTGCCAAGCAAGCATGAGTTGTTGCTGATGCTGAGGTGTTAGAACCTATAGTTGACGAAAGTATGAGGGCACTGAATAACGACTTTGGCTAGATTAAGCATACCAAAGATGTTGCTGCCAGTATTCCTAGATCGACTTTCTAACTGAACAAATTCCTTCTAGATCCTATAGCAGAAAATTTCAAGATAAAATCTCTTTTTTGGATGCTGAAAAAGTTCATGTAAATATATCTTATATTGCATATTCAGTAATTCCAGTCATCGTATATGTGTTCCCGCTGCATGGTTCCCCATCTGCAAAAAAAGTTGCACAGAAAAATCTCATCATAATAATTGAACGAGCAAAGTCTGCATAGTATGAAACAAAGATTGATTCTATAATTTAAATAACTTAATTATAGAGCCTGAAGAAGCATCACCTGCACACAAAAAAAAAAAAAAAAAAAAAAGACTGATTACCTCCAAAACATAGTGAGCCACACCAATTAAGATAATGCAAACAACTGGCACAATTTTGTAGGTTGCTACGGTGGGTTCACCCCAAACTACAATTCTACGTGCTCGAGTGTAAGAATACAAGAGCAATTTCAAATTACTCAACTACGGAAAACCAATTATGTTTTTTTAGTTCAGAAAACGGAACAAGGATTTTTTTCTCACAAACGGTAAAAGATCTGCAAACAAAAAGACATCTACTCAAAAATCAAAATAACCATTTGAAATAGTCCTTACTTGAAACGGGGGCCTATTTCATCTTGCAAACCGAAGAGCACGGTAAGTAACGTTCCTGTAAACCGAAGAGAAAAACAGCGGCCTATTTCTTCTTCCCCGTGTATCACCCCGAACAATAATATATGGAGTGATGTTAAGGCCGGAGGTAGAAATCAAACTTACAAGGACAACAAGTGGATCGCGTGTTAAAGCATGACCATCGATCATGTCTATTGGCAACATATTCCGGTCTCTATAGATAGTGTTGACTAAAGTCTCGGTTCCGTCGAGCCAAATCTGAGCGACATCGAATCCTGCTTTTACCAAACCGCCCTTGAGATAGCAATGGGGCGGAATTAGCATTTCTAAATAAAAGTAAAATAAGAAAGAAAAACAAATTACGGCTCAAACAACGAGAAGAAGAGACTTAGTGGATTGTTTCTAAGATCCAATATGTACGATTGAACACCTTGACTCTCCATCTCATGAACCGTATTCTTCATCTCCAATGCTGAGGTCTATATAACACGATCGAAATTACCTTTTTACCTTCATTCGTCAATAATACGGCTAATTTCTATCGATTTTCATGAGTTCAAAAAATGCTCGAGAAAATAAAATACCTGAGAAAAAGTTGCTAATTTCACATATCCCGTCTTCGATAAATGTCCGTCTGGCAATTTGTGAGGAATTATAGCACTCGATATCGGCGAAAGCTTGATTACCTCACGGGGTATATTAACCTCTCTGATATAAGAACTCCCGAAGTCATCAACCTGGATAAACATAAATGCACCAATGAAGTTCAAAATTAATTAACCAGCTTTCACAATCGACATTTACAATTGTATTTAAAAAAAAAATTATTCGAAAAACAATATTTATTTTTTAAATGCAAGTGAAGTGTTCTTACAGTGTGAACTTTTACTGTAACAGTTGTTCCGACATGTCCCCTGAGCTTTTGTGCAGCTGCTTCACTTGCCACTCCGGCGAGTCTTGCACCTATTGCGCACCAAAAAAAAAAAGCATCAATCCGATTATTAGAAATTTTGTTAACTATTTTATTAAAACTATTCATCAATAAACTATTTTTCTAGTTTATTTAGTACTAATGTAAATTACCGTTTATTTCCATTAGCTCATCTCCTTCGCGTATACCAGCTCTCGCAGCTGGGCTATTCTTTATGCACGATAAAACAACTTGAAATAAAGTAAAATAGAAAATTACATGTCAATCTTGGGAAAAAAAAAACTTCATAATTAACCAAAAAAATAAAGCAACTCAATATTCGATATTATAAAAAAAAAAAAAAAAAGTACGGAAATACGGTCTGCGGTTCAACGTTGATAAATAAGCCGACACCTTGCAAATTTCCGTTGCTTTCTATTCTAAAACTTTGATATTCCTGCATGTAATATATATTGATGATGCTAAAAATAGATCACCTTAAGTAGTTGAGATCGAAGGAGCTGGGAGAGCAAAGTGGATCACTGCTCACGTGCTAGATGGCCCTAAGATACCTGCGAACAAAGAATACGTGAACTACGCAAAGAATACGTGAACTAGGCCGGGGGTTGATCCGGCGGAAACCCCTCCGACGCTCAAGTCAGACGTGAAGATAGTCGGTGATTGTAGAGAGAATTCGAATAGTAGTATTACTCAAATAATAGGGCGTACCTTTCATCAATGAATTATGTCGTTATTTATACCTCAAATGAGATTGTTGGGCCCAAACCTTATTTGACAGTGATTGGGCCTCGGTGATAGTGGTCTTCAATATTGGGCTCGTGGCTCAATAGGTAAATAAATTGTAGGCCTATTGGGCTGACCCAATTAGGCATATATATATATATATATATATATATATATATATATATATATATATATATATATATATATATATATATATATATATATATATATATATATATATATATATATATATATATATATATATATATATATATATATATATATATATATATATATATATATATATATATATATATATTTCTTTAAATTAGTAGAGATACCGGCTAAAAAATTTGATAGCCAATAACTAACGGACTCTATCTTTATCTCACTCTCTCTCGATCTCTCTGACTCTCTCTATCTCAATCGCACTCTATCGCTCTATCTATATATTTCTAGAGATGAATAAGTGTGACTAAGTACGAGGATGATTGTATGTCTCT